AATTTCATGCTTTTAAAAAAAGATGGGAACGTATTCTTGATTACTTCAAAATCTCAAAAATGAAACACCAGTAATGTGGATCTGAATGACATGTATGTATAAATTGGTTATGTTTCTCATATGATGCTGTAATTTATGTACATGCCTCCGATTTTTGATTTTGTCTTATTTTTTGTATCAGTGCTGTATAAGTTTTGCACTGTTATTGTTCTTTCTTTTTCAGTTTTTGTATAAATGTTTAAAAATACCTAATAAAAATAATTCATAAAAAAAACACAACCTAAACTGCATCAGTTCAAACATGACTCAAGGTAATTTTTTTCCCATCTGAATATAATAAGTCTTTTTTGAACAGAAATAATGAGAATAGGCATGTTTCATTATATTACGTTTCTTCTACATCACATCAACCACAACAGCAGAAAATTTCAGACCTCTAGGTATAACAGTTCCAGAGCTGTGGGGCTTTGAACTTTTGGTGTCACCAGCGTCTCCAAACCTCTCCAAATGTGCCACTTTGTGCCAAATTGTGCCAGTTGTGTCAACTGTGCCATTTGACCCACAGAATAAGACTGGAGCATTTCAATGGCCACAAAACATTTATGAAGCAAGTATTTTTCCCACTTTTTTTCATTTTCATCTGATTATTGAGTGGTATATATAATTCATTCATTGAGCTTTTATGAACGCATTTTTAAAGTGTGAAAAGTTTTACATAAAAAATTAATTAACATATAAAAATATAAAACATTTCATTTAGTAAATACCCGGTGCGGCATTGGCTGAAAGGCAAGGAGCAATGAGCCTGTGAGACTTCATTGGCTGTCCCTGAATCAAATCGAGTCATACAAAGATGAGGACAATTTTGTCTTGTAGGTAGGAAGACGATGTAAAAAAAACAACAAAAAAACAGCGCAGGCAAACATTTGAGGAAGTAAGTCTTATTAGCAAGATTCTAAGCATTAGCTATGTCCACAGGTGTCAAGTAACGAAGTACAAATACTTCGTTACTGTACTTAAGTACACTTTTTAGGTATCTATACTTTACTCCATTACTTATTTTTCCTCCTACTTTTGACTTCTACTCATTACATTTTCACACAAGTATCTTTACTTTCTATTCCTTACATTTTTTTAAACAAACGTTACTCGTTACTCTTGGCTTCGGTTTAAAGCAGAGGTAACGGATTAGCGGACAG